CTTGGTGCTGATTGGCTAGAAGCCACCACGGTCCTGCTCCGATTGGCTGTTCCTCGACTCCTTGCAGGGACAGGGTGACCTCTTGGAAGGAGCCTCCTAGAGGCTAAGGAGTCGTTCGGGGGTGCCAGAGTCGGCCATAGAGAACCGGGCCTTCACGCCAGACTCCTGAGTGGAATTGGCTGCCGCAGAGACCCCAGTATTCCCCTCTTGAGACCTTCACATCGTTTACGTACCCCCTCGTTCGGTAGGCTCTGTGATCCCGCAGTACGAAGGGCGCCCCCAGCTGCCTATCCAAAACGCGCAGACAGCCGAGGCTGAGTTCCGGAAAAATGAGCCCTTTGTCCCACAGCCGCTACTCTTCAGATGGTCGTCCTTCCATCCTTCCTTCCCCAGCTCACCTCCTGCTCTCACAGGCAGGGAGGTGAGCAGGGAGTCAAGCCTCCCTCCCCACACGATTCTCAAAGGGAGTGAGCCCCAGATAAGTGGGCCCAAGACCAGTAGGCCCTCAGCACCCTGAGCATATGAGACCTGAAGAATATGCAAAGAGCGGCACCGGCTATCGTCTAGGAAACCGGAAAACTGGAACACACACACACACACACACACACACACACACACACGCACACATTACTTTTTCTTCATTAACACACTAAAAGTCACGCGGGGGCGGGGGTGAAATGCACATTGCTGGCACAATTAGTGCTGTATACAATGGAGCCTTTAAGACTGCGCATACCCTAACTCTTACCCAACTCGTCCCTGGAAATCGCCATCCCTTTTCTAGAACTCACCCCCACCCCATCCCACCTACCGACCCTAAACCCCTTAAAAGCTCCCGGACCTCCTACTTCAGGGAGAAGGTGCCTTTCCAGCATGAGCTCACCCTTCTCCATTCCTTGATCAAAGAATTAAGTTTCTATTCTGCTTTACCGAACTCAGTCTGGTTCTATTAGCTCTGGGCAGAGAAGGGCCTTAGTTTGTATCCCTGACCCCAAAAGGGTTGGTAACAAAAGGGCAAGAAGAGAAGGAGGACCCCTGAGGGACACAGCTTCCAGGAAGTAGGTCCAGCAGGAGAGGCTTCAGAGAACAGATTCCTTCTGCCTTTCCTCTGGTTCTGTCATGAATGGGGTACTTTTCCTACACCAGAGCCCTCAGAATAGACAATCTCAGCCTTCTACAGATTCCTGTGACATTCAGTCCATCATAGAAGATAGGAAAAAGACTCATGTTATGTTCCCACTATATTCTAGACAGCATATGAGCCACTTCCTTCTTATTTTACTTCTCGTCACTCTTAGGTAAGTCCTGTTTCATTACCTTTCCACAGAAAATCAATGGCTTCTAGGATGCATCTGTGTTCTTCACAGAGCAATAAGTAATGCTTGGAGAAGAAGGAAAGCGGTTTAGGAGTGTGGGAGCTGCGGCGGTGATTGACGTGAATGAGGAGGAAGTCCTGGATGTGAGTGCTGAGGTCTTTTGTATCCTTTGCAGTGCTGAGTCCAGAAGGGGAAGAAAGAGTTCAAAGCTGGATCTGTCAGTTTTCTCTCAACTTTTGATACCTTCAGACTCTCATCTGCACCCACCCAGCTGACGCTGGCTCTCCACCACCCATTCCTCCCAGCCTTTCATCACCCGAGGTTTGATTTCCCTGTAGATCTCAGGGCCTCTTACCCAGTTCTTCCATGGAGTAGATAAGAAATCAAGCCCAAATGCATGGCTCCAGGGATTTGCGTGAGGAATGCATGTCGGTGGCCAGCCCTCCTTGACTGTGACTCCCTGAAAAGAGAGTTCACTGCCCATCGAGCCCCTCATGAATCACATCCTGAGAGAGCAGTTGTTCACCCTAAATACTCCTAACAAATAAAAGGACAGTTTAGTAAATACTTCTTGATACACAAAACTTCTAAAACTTTCTATACTCAGTTTCCTGATATCAGTACTGGGTTTAATACCTAATAAAATAATTCATTAACCTGGGAATTGAATTTGCACCACTTCCAGTGTAGAGGGAAGGCATTGCTGCCTGCCACTGGGTGTGTGTATGGCCCTTGGGGCCTGTCAGAGGGGATGCAGTACTCAGCCACGGTGCACCTGCACGGCCAGCTTTGGCAAAAGGAGGAGCTGAGGTGGTGACCTACCACTGTGCTGGCTGAAGTTACTCTCAGGTAGCTGGGCTCCCTGCCCTGGTTCTACCCCAGGCTCAACCTGTCCCCTATTTGGAACCAGTGTCAATACCACCTGGCTCTCTTTCTACTTTTTAAAGGTGATAATACCTCATGATGACAGGGATAGGAGTGGTGCGTCCCAGAAGAGGGCAGAGGCAGGGCAAAAGCATCAGTCCTGGAAAAGTGGATCTGAAGTCCTTTTCATACTTCCTGGAGACCTTCCAAAGCGAAGATGGCACTGGGGACTTAAAGGGTCCCCCTCCTACAAATGCCTGCTCCCTTGCTGCGTATTTCCCACTGTGGCCTGATAGGGCAGACAACTCAGCTGCAGAGCCTGGAAACTTTGGCTGAGTCCCCACAGTGTGACCTTAAGCAAGACCTTTTTCTTCTCTGGAATGCAATTTCCCCATGGGGTCTCTCTAATGACAACCCCCTTTCTCTCATGGTACAGATCTCACCTTGTATGTTTCAGGGCCATTCCCAACTACAATAACAGCTCCTGTGAACTGAACAGCACAATCAGATGCATCATACCACAAACATTCAAAGTAGTCTCGGTCATGGTTCCCGTTTTATAGATAACTAAACAGTAAGTCAGTTGCTCAAGAGCACATAGCAAGTAACTAACAGAGCCTAGATTTGACTATTAATGTGCTATTATGTTTCTTCTGAATCTTGAGGTTAACAAACTTCCCTCAAACCAGGCGTAGGAGGCATTCATCCCGTAAGTACACATGAAGGGCTGACCATGGGGCAGCCCCAAGCCCCTGCAGCACTCCATCCTAAACCCCAGAGGTAAATCCTGTCATTGCTCCACTAATGGGATGAAGGAACTTTGTGAGATCACCTGGTAAGCAAGTAGCACAGCAGGGCTTCACGTCCAGTCTTTTATGGTGCCAGAGCCTCTGGTCAAATTGCGCAGAAACTGGATCTGGAAACCAGGGAGCAGCATGGAAGGTTTTCATGAGGAGACAGATGCACATGTTGGCACTAGGAATGCCCTCCCCATCGCTACTCACCAGGATGCTTCCTGCCCTGCCTGTCTTGGCCTTGGCCTTGGCCTGTCCCCTGCCTCCCAGCACAGGGAGCCTCTCATGGCTTCTTGTCCTCACTGACTCAACAATTGCTGGTTTGCAAACTGGCCCCTACATGGAGGGCAAGGAGAGACTGAAGAAAGACGCAGGCCACTCCAGATTGGTAGGTGCAGGTGTAAGGAGCCAGGGAACGTTATAAAGCTTCTCACAGACAACCACAAGATGAGAAAATCTCCACCCCCACCCGCCAGAGTCGTAAAAGTTTGTAGAGAGGCCTTAACTGGGTTTAGCCATGTACACGGTCTAGGTGTTCTCACACCACCGTGCTCTCTCAAGGTCTAGTGTTATGTTAGCCTGACAGTTGTTTTATTTTTTGTAATGCAAGTGCCTGACTTAAGCTTTGATTGCAGAGGTATGAAGTATCCTTTTCAAAGATGGCTATCTCAAATAAACACACTGCCAGCCACATAGATAAAGAGCTAGACAAAGACTAGATAAAGAGCCAGGCTACCTCCCCGCACTGAGGCTCCTGTGCTTTAGAGATCTTGGTTGATTTCAATAACTGGCCATTTGGGCTACTTGGTTTTTTTGTTTTGTTTTTCTCTTCCTGGGCTTTAAATTCCTACTTTTATGTTTTAAATTCACCAATAAAGTGTGAGCCCATGAAACTCGAGGCCCCCACCCTCAACCCCAATAAATACAGACTCCCAGGTCCATGTGCAGGTACTCTCTCTCTACCTGTGGCCTCATTGTTTGGCCCCAAGTGTGCTGTATAATTTTCAGGTCCTGTGAATAAGAAACCTTTATTTTTTTCAAAGTTTCTGGATGGTCATTGCTGCAGGGTGTCTTCTAATCATAATAAGAACCACGAGGGCTGGTCCAGCCACATCATTGGTTATAGATAGGCTGCGACTAGTACAAAACACACAAGGCTATGTCCTTGGAACAGTCCCCACTCTGGGACCAGTAGCCAGAGCATAAATTTCAAGAACAGGGTATGAGCTGAGGGGCCCTTGGTTGCCTGGGTCCAGCTAAAGTTTCAACCGGCAGCCAAGTCCTCTTGATGACCTCCTCCAACAACGATGCAATCAAAATCTATTTGTTGGTGTCCATGGCATTGAGAATAAGGGAGGCAACATCCCTGCCTTCAGTTGCTCACCATACAGTGGGAAAAGCAGTGAAAAGAAAAATTGGGGAGGGGGGACTGCAGAATAGGGAGGCCTGTGGTCATCCAGGGCCAAGCGCACAGGCTAAAGTTATGTGTGGTGGGGTGAGGGACGAGAGGAGAGCTGGCTGGCAGTGCAGGAGGCAGGAATGGGAGTCCAAAAGGGTAGCAGCCCACCCCTTACCCTGGAGCTGGCGGTTCTCCTCTGCCCCCGCCAGCACCCCCAGGAGGTAAGGAAGAAACCAGAGCCTGGGCCTGGGAGCTTTCTGAATTCCAGCTATTGGTCTCCTTGGGTTAAGTGTGTGTCAGGGCCTGGCCAGAGGGTGAATGGTCCTGATGGGGGCCCATCAGCCTCAGCACCCCCATGAACACCCAGTCCAAGGAAAAGCAATGGGACCACTGAGTAGTCCCTGACTCCACATTGTCTCAACTGTCCCCAGGAAACCCCCACACAGAAATCCTGGAACCCTCACTGCTGGCACAATGTGAGTCCAGAAACACCCCGAGCCCCTCCAGCACATCTCAGATCTTTTAGGATCTAGGCAAGCTGAAGAAGCTGAAAGTCATTTTCTGCCCAACAGAGGAGTCTGAGGCTCTACCCATCCCTCTCCCTCACCACTACCTGGGTCTCTGAGCTGGCCCTGGGGCCCTCCTCTGCGGTGGGTGTGGCAGGACGAGCTGTCTCCTTAAGAGCACAAGGCAGAGGGAGCTGCAGGAGTCTTACAGAGTCTGACCAGTTCCCTCCTGTCTGAAGGTATTGTCGCCTCGGGCAAGCCTGCTGGGTTTAAAGAGCCGAAACTCACTGGGCTGAACACTGCCCCAGCAGCCTCCTCAGACCTGCTCTGTGCACCCTGCTCTCAGGTGAGCTCAAGAGAACTGGCTTTCAGGTGAGCAGGAGACTGTTAGGACTTTGGGCTGCTATGTGGAGGGGTTTGGGGCAGATGGTTGGCCCAGAATACCAGCCTGAGGAAGGGGTGGGAGTGCCTGGGTATTCTCGGTAATGGGATGCGTATTTAGGGGTGCTGAGTATTGGAGGCTGCCAGCTCTGTGACCATGGTCATATGGATGGTGGGTTGGGGGCTAGAAGAAACAAGAGCCAGGCTTTGGCTAAAAAATATGTAAAATGGAGTTGCACTCCTCATGCTCCAAGAAATCCAGGGTGGTGAGATGAGTAGAGAGGCGGACTTGTCTAGGGAGGGCGAGCTTCAGAGACTGCTCAAAGATGAGACCGCCCCCCACTACCTTCAGAAGCAACACGTTAATAGCCCCTTCCTTCTATGGCAATAAGACCTAGGCATTCATGTATTGATTATTGTGACATGTTTTAGTACTTACTATGTGTTAGGTAGTATCCTTAGACTTAACATATTAACTTATTTAATTCAGTCATAACCTTATGAGGTTGCTATTATAATAATTATCCTCATTTTACTGGACACAGAAGCTCAGAGAAGTTAAGTAACCCGCTGAGGCACACAGCTGGTAAGTGGATTGGAGTTCTGTCCAGCTGGGCCCAGCAAATAATAACAATGACTCTGTATAGAACACTGATGATCCCTAGGCCTTCCCGAGGCTAACAATATGCAGAAAATTGGGACAGGCCTCCTGTCCCTGGCATAGCCAGCCCAGGGACTCCTTCCCACCCTGGGAGGAAGGAGAAAGGGGTGATATACCACCCACCAAGCTGTTTCCTGCCAGTAGCAGTCTGTACTCTGAGAGTGGACCAGCGGGCTGCCTGGAGCAGGGTCCCTGCCCCAGCTGGGGATGGGGAGGGAGGCCATCTGTGCCTGGAAGTCCTCCACTGCCCACTCCCCCTGCTCAACTGATCCCTCCTCTGCCCAGCTCAGGCCTGGGTGGCCCTTTGTGGAGGCCACCTTGGAATTCAGCCTGATTGGGCCCCAGGCCCAGACCTGTGGGAGCAATAGCGTCGAGCCTGACAACCTTGCTCTTTGCGTTGGGGTTAGGAAGGCTGACATCAAAGCTTGAGTTAGACCAGCAGCCCTGCTCATCTTACCTTGGGTTAGACATCGACTACAGATTTTAGCAAAGCATTATAGGGCACTTGCTACGTGCAGGAGCTGTTCTAAGCACTTAACTAGTATTAATTCAATCCGTATAACTCCACAAGACACTGCTAGTGTCATCTCTCAGTGAGGAAACAGAAGTTGGTAACTGTCCCAAGACCACCCATAAGCAAGTGCACCCTTGTGACTGGTACCCTTGCTCTCCCACGGGGCAGGTGGGGGCCACCTGACCCCAGCCGAACCCCCTCCCTACAGTCCTGCCCTGCAGCTGTGACATGGAGGGAGTGACCTGGGGCCTTCTCCTTGCACTGGCAGGTGAGTCCTCCCAGAGGTCATCCTGCTGCCACCCATGTGCCCTCAAAGGCAGTGAAGACCAGGGCAGCATCTCTCAAAGGGGGCTTGGTGTGAAACAAATGTTTTCATTTATACTTTCAATTTAAAGAGAAATAATAGTGTTACTGGGTGGTGATAATATTCCTCAGCTCTTGTGTTCAGGGGAAGAATTCAGCCGAGAGACAGCGTTTGGTGCAGGTATAGGGTAGTCAGAAGTTTATTAGTAAAGGCAGATGTGGAGGGGATCTATCCCGAGGGGAAAAGGCCTCTCCTCACATATATATGATGGCTTTTATTTCTGTGGGCAGAATCGCCTCCTCCTCTCCCTTCTCTTATCTCTCTCTCTCCTGCTGAGGCGCCCAGTCCTCCCTTTTGCTTTTCAAGGTAGTTTCTGTCAATTTTCTTTTTATGAATTGTTTGAGACACTCAATCAAATGGTCCTGATAAGCGGGATGTCTTCCTTCCTTCTTTGCCCTCTAGCCACACATCCCTTTGATTTAGGGGCATGTGTGAGCCTGGAGTCCTGATAGGCCAGTAAGGCATCAGTGCCCCAAGTGAGGCAAGCAGAAAGGGGTCTGGACCCAAGTAGGAGCTACAGCAAGGGGCTTTGTATCGGGGCTGGGTCTCTCCTTCTCGTGCTCATTTCTGTCTATCTACCCATCCTATCATTAGTACAGGAAAGAATAATACAGGTAACAAGTGGATATTGTGGAAGTTATCCTGGGTAATTGAATTCTGTAAAACTGTGACCATCTGGTGGCATGAAGAGAAAGACATTCCATTCCCCATTTCTTCAGGCAGCAGAGGGTTAGCCAGGGTCTGGGTAGGAAGCTTCTCAGGAGAGGGTAAAAAGATAACCAACACACCATCCCATTTCAAGTGCAAGAAAGAATAGCAGGAAGCCTGAGAAGTAGCAGGAGGGGCTGGAAGTGTGCATTTGTGTGTGTGTGTGTGTGTGTGTGTGTGTGTGTGTGTGTGTGTGTTGGGGGGAAGGCGGGGGGCCCAAAGACTGTGGGATGGGAGACAGAATCCCAGCATTATTTGAGGCTGGGAAGGTGTGAGGAAGGGAACCGACCCCAGGGTGTCTCCCAACAAGGCTGTCTGTCTGTCCTCGCCCTTTCAGCTGAGGTCTTGCCAGCTGATTGATGTTGAGACTAGTGTCATGAATTATCACCCAATCCCTCTGCTTCTCCCACCCAGGCCTACCTGCCTTGGAAGCCAATGACCTGGTTGGTGAGTGAGGCCCCAACAAGTTGCCTGCTCCTGCTGTCCCATATCTTTCCTCTAAGACCCCACATCCTGCCTCCTAATTCCAATCCTTACTATTTTTACTTTCCTGCAGATAAAGACAGTCCCTTCTACTATGGTAAGAGATGATATCCCTCACCCTACCCCTCCCTTTGCCTATCCTGAACCTCTTTACTAGAGATTGGTGAGGGGTGATGTGGAGCCCAGTTAGATGGGTCTGGGACTGGAGGTTAAAGAATCAGTGTGGTCAATTAAGAGAACAAAAGGCCTACATGCACCTGGTCTTTGAAAGACCCTCATTCCAGCAAGAAGGGAAGACACCCCAGCATATTTAGGAAGACTTCTGGGCTGAGACACTGGGCTGCTGGGCCTGGTACCTCACGCCAGCCTCCTTCCTTCCTCTTTCTTTCCCATGCCTTCCCCAGCACCTGGCTCCTTGCTGCCCTGCAGCGCCCCCAAGCAGGTCTCCTCTCTCTCCTCTTTGTCGGCCTAGCACTGTCCTCCAATATCCCTACAAACCCCAGGCCTCAGCTCAAATGCCACCTTTCAGAAAACCCTTCCTTGATCATCCTTCAAACTCCCTTCTTTTTCTCTGTTCTTCTGCTTCTTTTTTTTTTTTCTAGCACTTGCTCCCAACAGATATTATACTATGTATCTACTTACTGGCTTGTTTTTCTGTTTGCCTGGAATGTAAGGGCAACTGCACAAGCAGGGGCTCATACATATCTTTTGAATGAGGGCGTGGGGTGGAGCCAGGCTGGCACCAGTTCACGCTCTGCTCCCCTAGACTGGGAAGGTCTGCAGCTGGGAGGGACAATCTGCGCAGGCCTCCTGTGCATCGCTGGCCTCTTGTTCGCCTTGAGTGAGTGGTGGGGCTGGTGGGGCTGCAGGGTGGGGGTGGGGCGGCGTGTGGTAAGAGGGGTGGCCCAGGGTCCTGGCTTTTCGCCCTAATGTTTCTTCCTCACAGGTGGCAAATGCAAATGCAAGCACAGTAGGAAGCAGAGGTGAGACAGGGCCCTACTGTGTGCACCTCAAGCTGAGCGGGCTATTTGGGGTAAAGTCCTACATTGGAGAAAGAGGACAGTCTCTTGGCTGTTCCCTAGGCCTGCAGTGGCATTATTCACAGATAATCAACTCTGAAGGACCCCAAATCAGGGACACCTCTGATCCCGGGTATTGTTTAAAATGACAGTGGAAGAATAGCAAGGAGGCAGTTGGTGGCCCCCCTGGGGAGGAGGCACCAGGGTCTTGGTGAGAGAAAGCAGATGGTCCAAGGATACTAATCTGATGTGTTCCTTTCTCAGTCCCTTACCTGAGAAAGCTGTTCCACTCATCACTCCAGGTGAGACGGGCTTCTTTGAGAGGCTTCCAGGTACTCAGGCAGAGTGGCCATATAATTTGAGTTAAAAAATGATGTCTCCTTTTTAAGAGACATCTGTGTATAAGGCGGGACTGTCCTGAGCCAGCCCAGCCTTGGGGTCACCCAAGGCTGAGGGGCGTGTCTATGTAGTGACTGTGTCTGTGAGGACCTTGGACCCCACTCTCTCTCTCCACAGGCTCTGCCAGTACCTGTTGAGCACAGGACCAGCTTTGTGGCACTCCCAGCGCAGCTCCCATGCTGTTCCCTCCCCACCTGGGGGCCTTTCTCTCCACTGGTGGGCCCTTAGGCTCTCTTTTTACCAGGAGGCTGTCCAAAGCTTATTTCTAAATTAAACTGGTCTCCCTCTTCCTGTTGTCTTGTGACCTTCTATGGGTCTGGGCAGCTTGCTCAGGAAAGCCCAGGCCCCTCTACAGCTGGGGTGGAGGGGGTGGGGTGTGGATTGCTAATGTTTCCTGTGGCCACAGGTCTGCCTGAAGCCTACATCCCAGCACGCCCCCACTTTGAGAACCTCCTGATAATTGATCTTCTGCCCGCCCCCTGCCTCATCCATGCATCATTCAAGACACCTCAATATTTTATCAGAGGACCTCACAATTTCCAACCTTTTATAGAGGCCCTAGAAGCCCCAAGGAGCCAGGTATCCATGACATCCTGTAACCTAGAATGATTCCCCAGTGGCTCTCCCTCCACTAAGACCCCACCTCACTCGGTGAATGCTCTCTACTGCTCACACAGCCCAGGAAATGCAGCAATTTCTTCACTGACCTACTCCAGTAAAACCCTGTATAATGCTCAGATCAACCCATGTACCCTCCCCCTACCCTAGGTAATACCTGTGAGACCCCACTATGAGCTACATCCCAAGAAGCCCCACATAGTGCATTTTAGAACCCAAAACCATCCATGCAAATCTAGGTCCCTCAGTGTGTTGAGTCCACTTCTGGACTCTGAGAACACTTCACTTGAAAGGTCCCTGCATGCATGTGTATGTGTGTGTATGTGTGTTGGGAGGGGAGGGTTGGGGGCTGGGGAACGTGCCTCTCCCACCTCAGGAGCCTGTCCATCCTGCAGCCTCAACCCTCTTGCCAACCTCCACAGCCCAGATGTAAGGAGCCGAGGTGCACTCAGCTCAGCCGGCCCTGGCAGAGACCCTGGGGCAGGGGCAGGTGGTGACAGCAGAGATCTACACTGTCTCTGGCAGGCAGTGGGTCTGGGTCTGGGTTGATGGGGTTGCCTCACACCAGTTTTCTGATGGTTTGCTGCTCCTAAGCCTCCCTCTACTTCTCAGAGTGGTGCCAGATCCTCTGGAAAGTATGTCATGCCCTAGACTTTGGGTCCCCTCACTTATGGGCCAGTGCAGGGGAGTCTGAAGGCTGAGGACCCTGCCTCCTGCCCTGTGTAGCCCATCCCAAGCCTTGAGGTCTAAAAATGAGGTTCTTAGATCTGCTTAGGGGCCTTGAGGCAGGACATAGGAGATGGGTGAGGGTAGGGTTCTAAGGCTGGCCCAGAGCTGCAACAGGAACTCCAAGAACCTGAGTGGGACTCGGGATACCTAGCTGAAAGTGCAGCCACTGTTCAAGGTGGGTGACACAGTATGGCAGGGAGCCATGGGGGTGGGCAGCAGTGCCAAGCCTGTTACCTACCCAATGGATCCTTTAAGGTCCCAGCTTTCTGAGCTGGTTGGGTGTTCTCTGAGAAGAAAAGGAGTGTGTTGCAGTGGCTGGGTGCATGGGGGCTGTGGTGAGGCCAAGTGGTGACATCTGAGCTAAATCCTCAACCGTGAATGGTGCGAGGAGCCAGGCACGAAAACATGGTAGAGGGAACAATGCTTGCAAATGACCTGAGGGAACACTGGCCTTCGTGCTTTTTGAGGACCAGGGGAAAGTCAGTATGACTGGAATGCAGGCGATGAGATTAAAGAGGAGGCAAGTATGGCCACTGCAAAGAGAACCACTGCCCCCTGCTGAGCTGGGACTCAGTAGAGGCACCAGGAGCTGCAGAGGAGGGGGAGGCGGAGGCGAGAGCTGGAGGGCAGGGGCGCAGAGTGCCCGCGCAGGCACAGAGCCCCAGGGGCGGGTGCAGCTGGGACCTGCTGCAGCAGAGCGGCCCCCATGTAGTGGGTGCATGTCCCTTTCCTCCTTGGACACGTAGGACGCTGGCATGAGTGGACTGCATGTGAGAAAGTCAAGTCTGGTCGTTCATGGGGCCTGAGTGGTACAGTAGCACGTAAACGATCTTGGCAGCGTGCCCCTTCTGAGTTCCCGACAACTGCTTCTTTAGGAGAAACCTGGGTCCCCACCATCACACACTGTAACAAGCCCTGGTGTTTGAAATCCTCTTAGTAACAAGGAAAGCCCATTCTGATCTGGGGACCTAAGTCACTTTGACTCGAGATGCAGCTGCGGCGGTTCCGGCCCAAGCACCCAGACCCGGAAAGCATTCCACATCCATCTTCACGTGTTCGCACTCCCCTCACACCCCAGCTCCAGTGGGGTGGGGATGGGAGGCAGGAACACAAGGTCCTGCTCTGCTCTGCTCGCAGTCGGCCAAGCACGTCTTCATTCAAGTTTCACCTGAAAAAATTCCAGTCTCCCCAAGTCCTTATAAGCAACCACCATTGCCCAGCGTCAGTGAGCCTTTGTCCAACAACAAGCTGGTGGGGCCTACTGGTTTAGGCTGATTCCAGCTGTCCAAGGCCTGGACAGGGTGCTCATGGAGGGCGTCTGGGAGCCTGGGTTAATCCCAGGTGGAAGAACTCAGGACTCATGGGGAGCGAGGGACCATGCAGGGCAGAGTCGGTGTTAACCTGTGAGGTTGGCGACTGAGTTGGGCAGCTGATTCCCAAGGGAAACAAGCTCTCCCTTTTCCCTCCACGGAAGGATCCGGAAAAGTTGCCATAGGATGAGTATCGCCCAAGCTTCCTGTGTGGAATTTACTCACTGTGCTTCAGAGATCCCTTCCCTGGGCCTATTTCTCCTAGGACAGGGGAGGGGATGGCTTTAGTCACAATTCCCTCCTCTTGTCATCTTCTCCCAGATTAGGGGCTGCTCAGGAAAGAACCAGAGAAAGCAAAGGGTAATTCCCACTTAATTGAACTTAGTATGTGATGGGCACTGTTACAAACATTACATGTTAACTCAATTTTCCCAGCCACATAGGAGGTAGGGACTTGTGTTATCCCCTCTGAGACTGGTGCTCTCAGGTTTGCACAGGGTATCCGGCGCCTGAGCCGTTTCTGCCTTTCTGGTCCTTATCACTATCTGAGAACCCGGTGACTAAGCCTGCTTGGGGATTATATACCCCTCCCCATTTTTATTTAAGCAATCTTTATTTTTTTCTGATTGCAAACATCTGTCATGCTTATTATAGAAAACTAGAACATTACAGCGATATCTCACTTAGAAGGTACACCAATTTCTAACCCAGCACTATGTATATATATTTTTGTATAATGCCAGGTTGTTTATATAAATCAATAGTTCAGGGGCTGGCCGAGTGGCACGTTGGTTAAGAACTGGCTTAAGACACAAGAGGGCCCCGGTTCGGATCCCACAGATGAGGCCCAGTGACACTGCCCCCTACAGCTAAGATGCTGAATAACAGCTCAACCTGGAGCTGGGAGGCCGTGAGTTACAGGCGACAGCATAGGCTGCAGCCCCTGCTGCAGTGGGTTGTGATGGGCTACCGTGTACAGCCAGCGGGCAGCGTGAGCGGCCCTCAAGCCGTGGTGAGCGGGTGTCCAGAAGCCGGCGACTGATCTGCCTCACCCGGGAAGAGCACAATGATGGTGCCAACTTGGGCCAGTGAAGCAACGTCCTCCACAACTAGACTGAAGAACAAAAAGACAGCAACTTGTCTGTTCCCCTTACCCCAATTCCCCAGCACTGTTCCCATCTCCCAATTCCCCAATAAAATAAATAAAAATAAAAAGATATATCAATAATTCATTACTTTGTATTGTTAAGTAGCAGACCTGGAGAGTGCTTTTAAAGTTAAGGGCCTACCAACTTAAGAAAAAGTTATAAGGTTTATTCTAAGATTAATGGCTCGAAAACACTATTTCTTTTTCCCAGAATGTATCAGCACTTAACCCTCAATCTTTGTGTCAAATACTAAAAAACCCAGGGAAAGAAGGGCTAACAGCTACCATGAGGGTGCGTGAACGGGGCCATCTGGGTTGATCACTGCTTAGGTCACTGCATGACTCTGTAGAGGGGTTTATTACTCTAGTCTCAACCCTGCCATCAAAGGAATATTCTTAAGGCAAGGTCAGATCAACTGATCAACTCTGCTCAAAGTACACCAAAGATCCCTTACTTATTTACAGAAAAATCCCCTTAACATGGTCTATTGGCCCTGCATCTGACTGCAGACCCCATGTCTGACCACCAATGCTCCAACTTCACCCCTGTGCTCTTCCACACTCATTCTGCCGCTGGGATGTTGTGTTGACACCACCTTAGCCTTAGGGCACTGTACTTCCCTCCCTGTTAGACACTGTGCCAAGTCCCCATCATCCCTGCATCCCTCATTCCCTTCACCCTTTCAGACCTCCAGGGCCACTCTACAACTGCACCACCAACACTGTCCTTCCCATCTGTCTGTTACTACTACTCTGCACTCTGCCCTAACTCAGATACTATTTATGTTACTCATATGCCAGAATGTAATTCCAGTTGGTTCCTGCAGAATGGTTTGGGTTTTTTTGGCTGATTTGGCTGTTCTCAGATTGCCATTTTCTGATTTCCATTGAGTACATATTGGCCATTTTGAACTTCTCTTGTTCTCAGGGTAATTTAAAAAATTTTGGTTGCATTCTTTTCACTAATCCCTGACAGATGATAATAGCACACAGGTCTTATAGTTATTCTATACCTACAATTTTGTACATAATCTCTGGTACTTCATCAAAAATATCCAGGCATAAAAGACAAACAGACCAGACAGACAACATGAACACAGAGAAAGATGCAGATATTGGGATTAGACCAATATGTATGGAAATTTTCAAAAACCGACCCTATGCGTGGTGGGTTAAATTGTGCCCTCCAGAAAAGTATGCTTGAGTCCTAACTCCCAGCACCTGAGACTGTGACCTTCTTTGGAAACAGGGTCTTGGCAGGTACAATCATGTTAAGATAAGCTGACTCTGCTGTCCTTATAAAAGGAGGAAAATTTGAACAGGGAGAGGGAGAGGGCCAGTGACAACAGGTGGAGATGGGGGTGATGCAACTGCAAGCCCAGGAACACCCAGAACTGCTGGCCACCATCAAAGCGAGAAAGAGGCAAGGAAGGGTTCTTCCTCGGAGACTCTAGAGCAGTGGGTCTCAACCTTCCTAATGCCGCGTGACCCCGTAATACAGTTTCTCATGTTGTGGTGACCCCCAACCATAAAATTATTTTCGTTGCTACTCTGTAACTGTAATTTTGCTACTGTTATGAATCGTAATGTAAATATCTGATATGCAGGATGTATTTTCATTGTTACAAATTGAACATAATTAAAGCATAGTGATTAATCACAAAAACAATATGTAATTATATATTGTGAAATATTTCTAATTACAAATAAATGAAATTTTGTCTTGAAGCATGGAGACGGATAGAGGAGCGATGTCTCGGTTCCTAAGACCATTGAAAATATGT